GATCTTGGGCACGCACGCACATGCACCCGGTGTGAGTTTTAAGCCACTGGGTCCGGGACAGGAACCATGGTCGACTACGTGGGAGTCCAGCGACATTTCTCTCTTTCTGTCTCTATGTTTCTCTCTGTCTGTCTGGCGAGCGCACGTGCCCTGTAGTGAAAACCTCTCCAAAAAAAAAAAAAAAAAAAAAGTACTATTTGGGGCCAGCAGATGGAGTAGTGATTACATCGCTGGACTCCCACATGGCTGACCACAGTTTGAGAACCAGACCTGGTGGCTTGAAAATCACATTGGCCGTGTGTGTGTGTACCCAAGATCCTGGAAGGAGAATGGAAGAGAAGGGATTGTGGCGTGGCCATCCCTCTTAAGGGATGATTTCTCACTTTCTCCTTTCACTGTCTCTGATGCTCTCTGTCTGGCGAGTGTATATGCCCTAAGACAAAAACCTCTCTTAAAAAATGTTGTTTAATTTACACATATTTGTGGATAGTGCTCTTGTTTGAAAATTTTTGCTCTGTGCAAACCTAGCCTCTCAATGTTCCCAGAGTATTCTGTTGTCTACCATGCCCCCTGTTTGCCTTTGTACATGTTATATCCTCTTTCTAGAAAGCCCTTCTCTTATCATTGGTGCACACGAGCACAACTCAGATACCACCTCCTTTATACTCAGATAGCCCATAGTGCGTCATTCTGAAGTTCATCATCTTGCTTTGAGATGGTTTGGGAATCTGTCTCTTGTTTTAAACTCTGAGCTCCTCAAGAATAGGCATTTTGGGACCAGTAGTTAGCGTAATGGCTATGTCGCTAGACTCCCATGTAGTCGACTGCGGTTCAAGTCCTGGACCTGGCAGCTTAAAACTCACGCCGGGCGCATGTGCGTGCGTGCCTAAGATCCCAAAAGGAGAATGAAGGAGAAGGGATTGCAGCGTGGCCATCCCCCCGGGAGGTGATTTCTTGCTTTCTATCTCTCTGTCTCTGTCTTTCTGGCGAGTGCACGTGCCCTATAGCAAAAACCTCTCCAAAAATAAAATAAAATAAAATAAGAATAGGCATTTTGTATCTCGTTCAGGACTGCAGCTCCAGCTCCCAGTGTAGGAATTAGAGTGTAGTCAATGAATATTTATTCTTTTGAATGATTACATGTATTTTTATTTGCAGTGACAAATTTATTGGCTTATTGATTGCTTTTCTCCTATTTGTAGGAGGTGTTCCCGCTCATATTTTTGGCATTACAAAGTTTGGGGATAACATTGAGGATGAATGGTTTATTGTTTATATAATAAAGCAGATTACAAAGGAATTTCCAGAACTAGTAGCAAGGTATTGTAATTATTTTAAAGGAATTCTATTATTGAAACTAAATGACTATGTTTTTTTACCCATTTAGTCATTTTTTTGGTAATCTGGTGGAAATTACAAATTTGGTACAGATTTTAAAAAGTGACTGTGGTGGGGCTGGCAGGTGGCGTGGGGTGGTTAAGGACACTGGACTTGCACATAGCTGACCACAGTCCAAGTCCTGGACCTGGCGGCTTGCTTTCTCCCTCTCTCTCTCACTGTGTCCCTCTCTGGTCAAATTAAAATAAATAAGTAAATAAATAATAGTTAAATAAAATAATTCTTAAAAAAGTTGACGATAGGGACCAGCAGTTAGCATAATGTCGCTGGACTCCCACGTAGTCAACCACGGTTCACGTCCAGGACCTGGTGGCTTAAAACTCACGCTGGGCGCGTGTGTGTGCATGCCCAAGATCCTGAGAGGAGAATGGAGGAGAAGGGATTGCTGCGTGATCATCCCCCCTGGGGGGTGATTTCTCGCTTTCTGTCTCTCTCTGCCTGTCTGGCTTGTGCACGTGCCCTATAGCAAAAACCTTTCCCCCCCCCAAAAAAAAAAAAAAGTTGACAATGTTTCAGGGTCACAGGTAGCATGATTGTTAAGGCACTTGACCCCACATAGCCAACTCCACAGTTTGAATCCTGAACCTGGTTACTTAAAAGCCATGTCAGACATGTGTGCGTGCATGCCTAAAATCCCAAAAGGAGAACAGAGGAAAAGGGATTGCAGTGTGGTCATCCCTCTCGAGTGGTGATTTCTCACTTTCCTTCTCTCTATCTCTGTCTGCCTCTGGCTAGCACACATGCTCTATGACAAAAATGTTTTTTTTTAAAGTGACTATTTTTAGTGATCAGCAGTTGGCATAATTGCTACCTCTCTGGACTCCCATGTATTCCACCGCAGTTTGAGTCCCAGACCCGGAGGCTTAAACTAGCCGGACGCGTGTGTGTGCATACCCAAGATCCCGAGAGGAGAATGGAGGAGAAGGGATTGCAGTTTGGCCATCCCTCCTGGGGGGTGATTTCTTGCTTTCTTTCTCTGTCTTTCTCTGTCTTTCTGGCGAGCACACGTGCCCTATAGCAAAAAAACAAACAAACAAACAAAAAACTCTCAAAAAAATTTTAAAAAGAGATTATTTTCTTTCTCTATGGTGATTTGCTTTTCCTGAGAAAGAATTAATGTGTTATTGGACAGTTTAACTGTCAGAAGATTTCAAACAGAATCTACTTATTTTAGTATTTTAAAATTCTAATTATGAAAAAACAAATACAGAAGGCAAACAAAATTCAAGCAATATAAAAGGTTATAGTGTTTTGGCTTCCCAGAAATAATCACCATTAAGTTTCTTGTAGATCTAGGCCAGCCTTAGAGCCTAGTGGCTAAGTGAATCAGATCCCACATGACCAGCCACAGTTTGAATTCCTGCCCCACTGGCTTATAAAACATGCTGGGCACATGTGCCTGCATACGCAAAATCTGGACAGGATGATGAACTGGTGGAGAAGGGGTTGTGCTGTGACCATGTCCTATTGGAGGGTGCTTTCTCCCTCCCTCTCTCTCCCTATGTGTCTCTCTATCTCTGTCTCTGGTAAATATGTACACCCTCACAATTAAAAAAAGAAATAAAAAAATTTCTTATGGCTCTTTAAGGAAAAAGTTCCATTCATATATCCATCTCAGAGATTTCTTACTTTTTCTTTATTTACTAAGTTTATTCATTTATTCCTTCCACGAGAGAAAGACAGAGCGAGATGGGCATGACAAACAGGGTCTTTTCACTGCCATCTACCCCATTTCAGACAGCCTGGGTCTTGGGCCACAGGTGCCCAAGGTTGCAAACCTAGGACCTTTTCTTGTGGGGGAAAACACAGTTGTATTACCCCTGTGCCTCTGTTTGGCTCCAGATGTATTTAATATATATAGTTGTTCCTCCACTAGACCATAGCTGTCTTTTTTTTGAGAAATATTTCATAGAAGAAACTTAAAAGTGAATGAACAGTTTTATAGGAAACAAAGTACAGTAGATAATACTGCATTCTAGTTCAGTTTTTATAAGAAAACAAAAACTGCTAGATCTCTTTAATTACCAAGTTATGCCAGCAGAGGGAGTTTCAACATTTATAATATATTTTGACCTAGTTTTCCTAGTCTGCCCCCAATTTTATCTTTTTCTACCTACCCAGTCTCTTTCCCAGCAGAACAAAAGGTATAGAAAACAAGCATTTGAAAAAAAATTTTCATACTGAAATTTTAAATATGCATGTAAGTAGAGAAATGAATTCCCATGTACCCAGTCACCCAACTTGAACAATTATCAGTTTATGGTCATTATTTCTTCTACACCCTTCCCCTACTGCCCTATTACAGAGCAAGCTTAAAAAGCAGATCTCTAATACTATGCCAATTGGTATTGAAAAATACTTCAGGAGATAAGAGCTCATATTATTTTTATCTTTTTTTTTTTTTTTAATTGTAGGACAACACTTATGCTTGCCGGGTGCGGGGAAGGTGGGAAGTGAAGAGAAAGACCCTATCATAGGCTGGCCCCATGATGCAGTGGTTAGATGTTGTCCAGAGGAAGCTGGATCTCATATGGCAGACCAGGGTTCAAATTCTAGACCCATTGGCTTCATACTAGGCTTGTACACATGTGTCCAGTATCCCGACAGGATGGAAAATTGGAAGAAAAAAGCTGTTGAGGGGAGAGAGCACTCTCTCACATATGCTCACTCACATAATCTCTATCATGAATAAAAATAAACTTTCAGAATCTCCTTTCACCTCTTTTTTTTTTTTTTAGAGAGAGATTTTTTTGCTATAGGGTGCGTGTACTCGCCAGAGAGACAGAAAGTGAGAAATCACCCCCTAGAGGGGATGGCCACGCCACTGTCCCTTCACTTCCATTCTCCTCGTGCACACATGCCCGGTATGGGTTTAAGTTGCCAGGTCTAGGACTTGAGCCATGTGCTTATTTTTCTATCCTTACCATTTTCCTGCAACTCTTCCTTACAGTCTTATAGTCACTTTCAGTGTTTTTCACAGCACACAGTAGATAATCAAATATTTACTAAGATGAAGGGGAAAAATGTATTAGAATAAACTGTTATAATTACTAGCAAATATGTACTTTTTGAATGTAAACATTAGAACTTCTCTTGCATTAGGATTGAAGACAATGATGGTGAATTCTTGTTAATAGAAGCTGCTGACTTTCTCCCTAAGTGGCTGGACCCTGATAATAGCACCAATAGGGTAGGTAGACCCAAGCTTTAATCATTTACAAAATGAAATCATGTAAACTTTGTAAGCTTTAATTATAATTTCTGGTGTACATATAATTGATGTATAACTGTGGACTACAGAATGACTTTTTTAAATACTTAATTTTATTTTATTCACCATCATTATTATTTTTTTTAAAATTTGACCAGAGAGAGAGAGAGAGAGAGAGAGAGAGAGAGAGAAAGCAAGAGAAAGCAAGCCACCAGGTCTGGTACTTGGACCCTGGGCGGGCGTGTGGGAGTCCAGCATGCCTTAACCACTATGCCACCTGCTGGCCCCCAGAATGACTTTTTAAGGCACGCACACAGTGTACAATAATAAAATCAAGAGTATACTCCTTCATCTTCTTTGGCATTGAGCATTATATTATGCGGATGCTGCACTATTTTTGTATGTTTTGTGTGTTTGCTCGTGACCACTGAATGTTACAATGTAACTTTCTTTAACCTTTTGATATATTTATTACTCAAAGAAGAGTCATTTTTAAAATTTAGCCTTCTGACTCTGCATGTGCCTTCAAAACTTTCACAATATTCTGTTCTTCTATAAGACGATGTAACATTTTGCAGGTGTTTTTCTACCATGGGGAATTGTGCATTATTCCTGTACCAAGGAAATCTGGAGCAGGATCCTGGTCACCTTCCACACCTCCAACAATCCTGCAGGCATTGAATATAATCTCAACACATCCAGAAAAAATTGTGGCTTCAGAATCTATACAAGCTGCTGTGAACAGGCGCATCAGAGAGTAAGATCATACATTTTTCTTGCTAGTTGAGTAACCTTTTGGCTCAAATCTTTCATTGAATGTATAGTGCGTCTTACCCAATTCATGCTAATTTTCATTTTTTCTGCATCACACTCTTCATGAAATTGGCTGACAAATCAAACATAAGGATTTTAAAATTAAGAAACAGGTATATCTTTTAATTTCCATTCAAGTGCTACAATCAGTTCCAATATTTTCCCATTTATTTACCTTAGATATTGTGGCTAAGTATTATAATTTATGTATAGATAAAAATTCTGAGACCTTTAACAATGAAAACCTGAGGGAGGCCCAATGTGCATAGCTTTTTCTGTGGTTCTGGGGCTATATATGAAATTCTTTTGCCTATATGGGACACTTCAAACTTTTTTCAAAGAGAGAAGGTCTGAGTACTTCCACATATTTAGCACCATTTGAGTCTTAGCAATATTAAAAATCTTTTGCTTTGTTTTAGTATACTTTGTCTGATTTTTTTTAGAAAAATAAGCTAATTTTACCATTCTTCCAAAGTGTAATAGGGGGCTGGCAAGTGGCATGGTGGTTTAGATGCCGGATTCCCACATGGATGACCACGATTTGAGTCCCAGACCTCGTGGCTTGCTTTTTTTTTTTTTTTTTTTCATTTTAGCAGTTTTTTAATAAGAACAGTAGATAGGACTATTTTACTCCTGCATCTTTTCGATCGTTCCTCCTTATATTTGCCCTTTTCATTTCCTACTTGGCGAGGCTTGGCTTTCCGTTCAAGGATCTTTTTGCGGTCTTTGTCCAGCTTTAGTCTAGTGATAACCACCTTGCTGGGGTGAATCCCCACAGGGACCGCTGTGCCATTAGCCTTTTCCCACTGCACCTGCTCAATATAGATGACATGTTTCTTCCTGTAAACTTGGACCACTTTGCCAATTTGCTGACCTTTATAGTGTCCTCACACAACCTGAACTTCATCATCCTTTCGGATGGGCATAGATCACACGTTGTACTTCTACCTCAGCTCTTTGGAAAGGGGGGAAGACATTATTTTCCTTCGGATGTGGGAAGGTGCATTGAAATGCCTTTTACGGTTCTTGCTTCGGTCAGAAGTCATGAAAGGATTGAACTTCATTTTGGCCGCTGCACCTCCGGCGATGGCAGCGCAAGAGAAAAGGTGGCTTGCTTTTTCACTTTTCCCCTCTTTCTCTCTCTCTCTCTGGTCAAATTAAATAATGATAATGATGATGATGATGAATGAAATTAAATAATTCTAAAAAAGGAAGTAGTTTTTAAAAAGTGTAATAGGCTTTTTTTTTAATTGAACTTCTATCATCTATATTTTCATTTCTTCTCACTTTTTTTTTTAAATAATTTTTTATTATTTTAATTTGACCAGAGACAGACAGTGTGTGTGTGAGAGAGAGAGAGGGAGGGAAAATGAGAAAGCAAGCCACCAGGTCTGGGACTTGAACGTGGTTGGCCATGTGAGAGTCCAGTGCCTTTAACTATCTTGCCACCTGCTGGCCCCTTCCCACCTTTTCTTTTTCCCTACGGTCTTAAGTATATAGTGTATCTTAATTTTTACCTTTCCTGTCACTCTCTACATCTTGTCCTTGAGGAGCCAAAACAAGATAAGATGTTAAGAGGGAAGTGAGTAGTATAAAAATTCTAGGTATTTATACATCCTAAGATAAAAGCAGATATATTACCTGTCACAGGTACCCTGAAAAAATTCAAGCCTCCCTTCATCGAGCACACTGCTTCCTTCCTGCTGGCATTGTAGCAGTGCTGAAGCAACATCCCAGATTGGTAGCTGCAGCAGTTCAGGCATTTTACCTGCGGGACCCCGTTGACCTGAGAGCCTGTCGTATTTTCAAGACATTCCTGCCTGAAACACGAATAATGACATCGGTATGATATCTCTTAAGTATATTTAATTTCTCTCACTGGAAAGAGTTAAAATGGGTCAGGTCCATAGCCTAGTTATTAAGGGAGTCAGAACTCACATGGCTAACTGTGGTTTGAATCTAAGCCCTATCAGCCTAAAAAACATGCCAAGTACATGTGTCCCAAATCCCAACAGGATAGAGAAATGGAGGAAAATGGATTGTGGTACAACCACACCCCACTGGGGGATACTTTCTCTCTTTCTGTCCCTGATGACCTCGTGTGCTCTGTACAATTAAAATACATATATTTGAAACATTAATGTCCTCCAGAAAAAATTTGAAATGTTCTTTTTCCTCATAGCAAATTCGAACACATTTTATCCTTTTTTCTTTTCTTTTATCCAGTGGAAGAAGTTTTAAAGAGACCTGACTTCCAGTTATATCTCAGTATTTCTAAGCTCTTTTGATGACTGTATTTTCCCTATTTCTATAATTACTTCCTTCTTAGCAATAAGATGTTTCATAGCAGAGAATTAAGAATTACTCTTCATCTTTTACCTCCCAGACTGCCCTATGATGTAACTAATGATAAGAATTCCATTAGTGGGGCCAGTGTGGTAGCATACCGAACCGTAGTGCTAGAATCCACACCACCAACCATAGGTTCAGATCTTTAGCATGGTTGACCTGAAATACACCAGGCATGTACACATGCCCAACATCCTGATGAGCTGGAGGCTAGGGGAAAGGGATCACAGTGCGATCAGACTTTGTTGAGAGTGTTTCTTTCTCACTCTCGTGTGCATGCAGGGTGTATTCTCTATCATGAGAAAATAAACTTTAAAAAGAAAAGAAAAGAAAAGAAAAGACATTCTATTAATGGCCGAGCTATGATAGCACAATCAGTAGGGCACCACTGCATAAGGCTGGGGCTCCATGGGAGGCCCAGGTTCAGTTCCTGGCCACGTATGGTAGTGTGTGCCTATAACCCTTGCTAACTGTGAGGACAGGGTAGGATCCTGACGTGGCAAGACATTGTCAAAAATACCCACCTCTGTCTTTCTCTCTCTCATTAAAGAAATAAAAGAGACTTTAACTAGTGATTACTAAAAGATAGTAAAGTTTATGGTATGTGAGTTATATCTCAATAAAGCTGTTACTGAAAGCAAGTAGACAGTGAATAGGTTGGATCTTCTTTCCATTCTACATTAATACGAAACTCATAAATGGACTTATTATTATGTTTAACTATTACATGATATTCAGAATTAATTGCAGGAAAATACATATTTTGTGTCCCAATGCGCAGGTCACTTTCACTAAATGTCTGTATGCACAGCTGGTTCAGCAAAGGTTTGTGCCAGACCGGCGGAGTGGATACATGCTGCCTTCTCCATGCCACCCCCAGTACCGAGCCCATGAATTGGGCATGAAGTTGGTAATGTTGAGCCACAAAATTTTATTCTCTTTTCTTATATAAAAGAACTCTTAACAGAGTAATGACATATCATAGAAAGTCTAGAATCATAGTACTAATGTGAGAATGTAGTAAAATGGGGCATTATTAATCAGAGGGAAGTTACAGTGGGATAACTACAAAGCCATTTGAAAAACTAAAATTGATTTCTTCATTCCTATTCCAAAATAAATTCCAAGTAGTTAAATTGAAACCATAAATTTGAAAAACAAAACAAAACACAGAAGAACTTTGTTTTTTAGATTTTTGCTATAGAGTGCTTATGCTCACAACATAGAGAAAGTAAGAAATCACCTCAGGGGGGATGGCCACATCATTCTCAAGCCACTGAGTCCAGGACTCAGGCTACACAGTTAGCCATGTGAGATCCTATGCCTTAACTAACACACCACCTGCTGATCCAGGAGAGGTTTTTTTTTTTTTTTTTTTAAAGAGATTTTTTTTATAAGGGGCGCTGATTTT